GTTCGCCGGCCAAGAGGATAGGCGAGGCGAGACTCCAGGCCCCCATATGCAGTTAGATAGTAATGAAGAATAAAGGATGTGCGAGAAACGGGACTGTGGCCGCTCCCAAGGTCGCTGCGCCTCGTGCCGACGCGCCCGCCCGCTGGGACTTTCGCCGGACGCCCGGGCGCGCGCGCGCATGCACCTTGGTGGTCCTGCTCGCTGTTGTCATATAAAGTACCTTATTTTTCCACGGTAGCTTTAAGGCCACAGTCCCGCGTCTTCATTCCATTATTAATTCTCTTTTCTCTTCTCTCCTCTTCCCCCTTCCCCCTTCCCCCTTCCCCCTTCCCCCTTCCCCCTTCCCCCTTCCCCTATCTCTTTCTCTTTCCCCGACCTCGTGTATGCTGAATACGATTGACGTGTTGTGACTGACCGTGGTGACCAAGCTGCGTCCTCCTGCGTGGCGGACTGCTCGACCCTCGTCTCAGCGGCGGAAGCATGAAGTCTGCATTCCCCGTTCATTATGCTTACGTTTCTTCTCTCTATGCTGTCCTTTTGTATGCTGAACTTCGCCCAAGTCATGTATTTACATTCTGATGAAATATTCCTATGTATTTGCTTCCTGAAAAATATGCCCCTGTCTCCAGTCATAATATACTTTATATATCTATAGATGCATTCCCTAGGGACGTGTGAATATATATTCTTTAGGATGTGTGTTTTATGTTTTTTTCTGATTTTATGTATATGTTTGAATATTTTGATGGGTGCACCGAAACTGTGTGAAAGCCGAGGTTATGTGGTTGATGCGTGCTTGTCGATACCTCTTAACGTTGCACATCTTCATTTTCGTGATGAGTTTGAGTGGCGATTGAAATGTCATGGCCCTGCATGGCCACGGCTTGCCAGTGCATGTAGTACCTGTTGTCAGCGTCTTTGCCCCGTCGCCTGCTTTCTGTGTGTGGCCCTTTGTCCCCCCCCCTTTCTTTCCCATCGACGCGGATTCCCTCCTTGCAAGATGTGTCCCGCTTCCTCTCACCCCTGTCACCTCACGGGACTGTTTGCTCTCGTTTGAACGTAGTTTGTCTTTATGAATATTCAACATCGCACTTCAAGTGTTTTTGCTTCCATTCTTTCCCAATAGGTTTTGGTGTTAACGTATCATGTTATATTTCCATTTAAAAACAAGGCACCCTTCATGTACATCATCTCGTCACTGCTTAAGTTTATTACTGTTATTATTATTGTTATATATTTTAGAGTACCGAGAGCCGCCTTCTCAGTACTGTTATGGGTAATGAAATGAGGTAAATAAAACATGCACATACCATGCAACCACAAATACAGTGTTGTCTAGTCTAAAACTATCCGTATCTGGAAGGATGATCACAACGGTGAAAAGAAATCGGACATGCCCGTTTAAAGACCATATCGTGTGTCATTGTGGTCGGGAGACTAATGTTGATTCGTTTTAGGATGCCTCGCTGCCTGAAGGGGTTCAGTTACAGCGTATTGTAAAAGATGAATTTCCGACCGGGTGTTTGGAATACTTGTCACTCCCTTTGCCTCGATCTTGGGATTATTGCTTATCTAGTCAGTCAGCCATGGGGAGAAATAAACTAAGGAAGCGGCAACCCGTGATTCGGCTGCAGTTATGGGCGCAGCAGAGCAGAAAGGGCAGAGTTGTCCGCCAGCAGTGGTCCTCCGGCCGTGCATGTGGCGTGTGCATCCGGCGCTGCTGGCCACGTGGGGAGCGGGCGAGGGGGGGGGAGGTGCATTAGCCCTGCGACTGTTCAGCGCAGGTGTACAGACGAGCGATTCTCCGTGGGATTGCAGATCAACATTAGTTTAGATCGAAAAATAGTGCAGGGTACAAGCAAACGTTATTGCGTGACAAATGTAAACTAGTACACGAGTTCATATCAGATTTGGGTGAAAATGAAAACGGCCATCAGATTATCCGAATAGTCAAATATGAATAACAGCTTCTAGAAGTTGCCATTGCAAGTTTTGAGAATTCATGTAGTTTGAATCGGTTGCACAAATTGTGGGAATGACGCGGCGGGTGGCAGTGCGGGATCCGCGACGGGTACTGGCGAGTCGCGTTTGAAAGCTGCCGTGCGTGCGTGTGTGTGTTGCCGTGTCTGCCAGACGCCCCACCTCCCACCGCCCACCTCGCATCCCGCAGACCCGCGCCACGTTGTAACAGCGCCAACTTATCGTGGTGCGATTTGATCTGGGATGGGCACGCGGGGGCAGGTCCCCGGTCCACGCTGTGCGCGGTGCACTCGGTGCTTCCCGTAAAAAGTTATGGGAAGGGCGTTTCTTAGAATAAACGACCCGACGTTGGAAAGTCAGGTGCTGCGGGTGAGAATGCACCGAGTTAGTGCCCGCGGCGGGCGCGAGGGCGTGCCGAGGTGTCATACACGAGACTCCATCATTACCCTCCGCCGAATGCCTACTCCTAACGTACTGTTCGAACAGTGCAAGGCCAGCTCCTCAGGGTTAACCCTGCATGGCCCGCCCGCCCGCGCCGAGGAGGCATGTCGCCTGAAATCCGTTACTGGTCGGGAATTGAAGCAATTAAGCGTCAGGCAGGGATGGATTCAGGTTTCAATTTAAGCCTCGTAACCGTCTTGGCGGCGAAGGTGGCTGTGTTTGCTTGCGGGCTCTGTGAGGTTGATTAAAACACAATGCACGTCTGTGGCCACCTGTCCATACAAGGCAGGAGCCCCCTCCTCCCGTGGCCCAAGGCCAGCGTAGGACTTTCAGTGTGACTGGCATACTAGCTGCATTTTGAATCAAGGGCCGTTATGAAGCGCAGCCCGGGTGCTCGCTGCACCTGCCTCAGGACGGGGGGCGGGGGGGGGGGGGGATCTTGAAGAGCTTCTTGCCCCAGAGGAGCGGCGGCGGCGCGGGCGGACTCGCTGCGCCTCGACCCCGGCAGCCGTGAATGTGCATATTCAAGCAAGCAGTGACTAGGGGAAGCAGCCCAGCCGGCCGAACATGCGGCAGGATCATGCTGAGCTGCCCATCATCGCGATGGCTCTTGAGTCTGCTGGCCCCTCCCCAGCGCGAAGTGCTTGTCATGCGGGCGCGAATTTCCGAAATGAAGCGCTGTCTCTGTTTTAAGCAGTGCAAAGGAGGCCACAGGCGCAAGGCGAGGGAACCTGTAGGCTTGCGATCGAGGGAACCCGGTAACATGTCTCGCGGCGACCCAGTCATGCACGAGTGAGTCGTGGCAGGCAGGTCCGCCTCACGTCTACGGCATTTCTTATCGCTGGGCAGAGTAGCTTGTCATGGCAATTCAACCGCTTTGGCAACACTTCGAACATTTGAATTTGTCTGCACTGCCTGGCCGCCGCGCGCTGTGGGCAGGGCGACGTACACTCAAGGTGTCCCTCGGGGTGCCTCGGCCTTGGAGGATTTCCTTGGAGGACAAATTCATACTGGTCTTCCTTGCCCTGCAAGCCTTTGGCTTCGGACACGCTTGCCTCTTCGGTTCTCATTTGGCCGTCAGCTGTGATCGCCCTCTTCCTCTTTTCCTTTTTTCAATGGTCTATGATACTTTGTCACTTTAATTCACTGTCTTTTTACTATTGTTTTTGTTGTCTGCAGATCACTCCCTTGTTCTCTCTGCCCTCCCCGCCATATTCTGCTTATGCATGCTCCTAACCGTTCTCCCTCCTCCGTGTCCTCCACACGCTTCGGCCCCTTCATTCTCTCCGTTTCACATCTGCGTCGTGGGTGCGGTGTTCGTCCCCCCCCCCTCACCCTCAACCTCACCCATGTGTCCTGTTTACCCCGCGCGTGTGGCTGTGAGCGAGAGAGGAATACATTGAGTAATGACCTATTTCTGTGTTCGGTGCGGCTTCACGGCGAGTGAGTGCGTAGTGTGTTGTGCAGGAAATAACACTGCACAATTTCTTACATGTAGATGTCTGCGCTCGTGAATGTTGAAATATTGTAATATGTAGTTTCCAGTGAACGTTTATTTAATGTATATAGTGCCAGCTGTGACCAAATGAAGTGTGATAGTTTCATTCTATGCGTGTCTCTGCCCGCTGAAGCAAGATCATGAGCCGCCCTGTGTAGGGCACAAGTGTTTGGATTATGTAAATGTCTGTTTTCGCGCGTGCGTGTTTGTGTATCCTGTAATCAAGGTCGCATGCAAGTAAGAGTGTCGGCGTCACGCCCCCAGTGTTTGTTGGTCTTGTTTGCCCCAAGTCAGTAACGTGTAAGTGAAACGGATATGCCCCTCCCCCCCCCCCCCGAGGACTCCCGTGGCGAGCGCACCAACAAGGTCGTGTGACGCGCGCCTTCCGGGAGACGGGCCTCTGTTCGTCTGATTTAATGCGCATTGAGAGAGTGGCTTTATTCATGTGATTTGGCTGCGGACGTTTGTCGAAATGAGAACGCCGAGTGATGTGGCCCGGAATGAGGATCCATTCGTCGTGACTGAGTGTGAGGCAGAGTGAGTGGCAGTGCGCGTGGTTACGAGGCTGAAAGCGAGTCGGCGATGGAGCTTCTGGTGTGTAGAGAGATCAAGAAAGTGTCGCGATTTCTCGTGGTAATATACGTGACTTAATGACAATATATATGACGCGGCAAGTGACGCCGTGTCCCCGACTCCCTCTTTCATCCCTGTTCCTCCTCTCCCTCCGGTATCGGAAGGCCACGCGAGGGCTGGCGTCAGATCATGGCAACATGGCTGATGCTGCGAATGCAATTAAAATCCCAGAATCCGTAGAGAGACTGGAGCGGCCCCGCGCCCAAGTTCCCTGCCCGCCAAGTAGGGCAGGAGGCGGGGAGCCGCTTGGCGGGGCCGCGGCTGGAGGGGTCGCCGTTGTATCACTGACCCATTTCGTCTCCCAAGTTAAATGTATGATATTTTTGTCTTGATAATAGCTACTGATGACTGTATAAGCAAGTGACTGGCCAAAGTCCTGTACAAATTGTAATATAAATTCACGGTTATAATTAATAATGATGCTTATGTAAATAGATATTTTCCTGTA